ACCCCCAGGAAGGGGCTCTGGGCCGGCCTGTGGGGTGAGGCCCCGGAGGAGAGTGCTTTGAGAGGGGTGTGTGTCTCTCTTGCTGCCCCCCACTGAAGTAAAGGCCCCCCGGGGATGGGAGGGGGGAGATACACGCATGTCCCTCCTGCCACATTTCCCCCTCGCCCGCCGCGTGGGGGCTTGCGGGGCTGGGGGTCGGAGGGAGGGGAGTCCGCTGCGCCCCAAAGCTCGGTGGGAGTGGGGGAGAGTGCTCACGACACACCTGGCCAGCAGGGGGGGGGCGCTGAGGGGGCCTCCCTCGTGACTCTCCCCTGCCATTCCCTTCAGTCCCGTGGGCCCCCCCCCCTGCATCGCATGGCATCCCATCCCATAATAGCATGTTCCATTGAAAAGGCACCAAAGACGACGGCAAGGAGGCCGGGGAGCTTGACAACTGTTGCTATAGAAACCCTCGCTCTCTCTCTGGCAGGCTTCCCGGGCCCCGGCACTATTCAGGGCCGGGCCTGCGGTGGGTGTCTTGCTGGTGGGGAGAGGAGAGGAGAGGAGAGGAGGGAGCCAGCTGCCCTGCGCAGCACCAGCAGCCCCCCCCCCCTCTGCTCCCCGGGCATGGGCAGGAGGAGGAGGGGGGGCTCCTTGCCTCTCCCAGCCCCTTGGGAGCCCTGGGGGGGCCCGCTTCGGGGGGGGGACCCTGGCCAGTTTGGCCAGCCTCCCTCCCCCCTGCAGATCTGAGTGCAAATCCCACCCAAGAGCCCCGCTGCCCTGGGGTGCCCTCCTGGGCCAGGCCCTGCAGCTGGCTGGCCTGCCCCTGCCTGGGCGGGTGTGTGTGTGTGTGTGGGGGGGTGCCCCCTGCCCCCAGGGTCAGAGTCCACCAGCCCAGTCCCTCCACCTGCCCCCCTCCTCCTCCCGGGGGTTTAAAAAAAGAAATGTTGTCTCCCTGGGAAGTTGGCTTAAAAGGTTTCCATGGCAACCCCAGGGGGAGGGCGGCGACAGGCAGGGACGTCCCCCCCCTCTCCCTGGCTCATCTGCCGCGTGCCTCTGGCGCCCCCTGCCGGAATGCGGCCAAACTCCGGGGGCGCAGCCCCCCCCCCGACTTCGCGGTGACCCCGGCTGACCCCGCCCGGGGCTGCTGCTGCGGATCGGGCCCCGTGCGCGAGGGGGTGGTGGTGGTGGTGGAGGAGAGAGCCTGTC